TAAGCTCATCCCGATGTTACACTCATCAAGAGCTTTCATTTGAGTACCCACGTGCATTTTTGATATATTTGTCATATATACATATATATAATATATATAAATATATGAAAAATTGATGTGGGTACTCAAATGAAAGGTCTTGATGAGTGTAACATCAGAATGAGCTTATATCTTTAAAAATCTCAATAGTTCACGAGATACAGGGTCAATCCTTAATGATGTATCTAGAGATAGAGAATTATCGAATGCAGCCTAAATACTTATCATCATAAATTGACTATTGGTGAGAATGATATGAAACCTTGAAAAGGTACAATTCCAAGTCAAGACTTTTCCAACAATACCAAATTTAACCATAAAATCCCATTTTATCATATAAATACACTGGCCACAAAATTTTGCTTATTCTCTTAATAATAAAGATTATTACAAGTGTATGTTATTGCAAATAATTATTTATCCCTGACGTCTCAATTATTAAAATCATTTATTAGATAGATAGATTCATAATTGATTTATGTCAAAACCAACTGGCCCGAGGGGTGAAACATGTTTACTTTTCATAAATACAATATACAATATATATATAGCTATATCGCAATTATAACTAAGTCCTTGAAACTTAATTTAAACACAAACAGAATTGGAATTTGAATATGACTGCTTATACATCAATAACTTATACAGCAATTTGTTTTCTTATATTTATTGTTTTATAAAGAATATAAAAATAATTGTTGCATTCATAAACGAAAATTATTATTAAATTAAATTGAACAATTACCAACAAAAAATATTGTAAATAAATCCAGTGAAAAATAATTACCCGAAACCTGTAGACTTTAATTAGTGTTAGTAAAGAGATTGGAAAATAGTAGATTCAGTGTGTTGACGTTCAAAGCTCCGCCGGTGAACCGCAAATTCGCAGCAGCTATTTCCAAACCCCTTGTTATACCCTGACCTCCGTGACCTCAACAAGTTACACAATTTAATAATTACTGTCGCTGTTGCTAACGAATATTTATTCACCGGCAAATCCCTTGGGAATAAAAATTCAAAAACAAATTGACTATGAATCACTCCTCTGATTTAACCTTTCTTTATAATTAACAATTAAACAACTTCATTACTCAATATTCAATCATCAATAATTGATAATAATGATTTGAAGTTTGATAATACATAAATTACGCAATAGGAAAAATGATTAACGACCCAATTCCAGTGCATAGTTAACGATGAATTATCAGGTGGCTATTTCATAAGCATAATTAATAGGATATTTCCTATCATATAGTACATAGAACAGGTTAAATTAATTTAAAGCATCGATTTATTGTCTCATTCTCCTTTAACTATTATGTACTACATTATGCTGCTCTACGTTTGCGTCCCTTTAAACTTAACTTGTATTCTCAATGGATTTTGTAATTATTCACTAACGTTCAGAAGTTCCTTGTAATTTAATCACTCATCTATATTAAAGTATTAAAAAATATTAAAAAATATTCTATCTCTAGATACATAATTAAGAAATGACCCTGTATTTCGTGAACTATTGACATTTTTAAAGATATGAGCTCATCCCGATGTTACACTCATCAAGACCTTTCATTTGAGTACCCACATCAATTTTTCATATATTTATATATTTACATATATGTATATATGAAAAATATATCAAAATGTATGTGGGTACTCAAATGAAAGCTCTTGAAGAGTATAACATCGGGATGAGCTTATATCTTTAAAAACGTCAATATTTAAGAAATCACAGTGCAATCTTCGTAGAATTTAAATGAAATTAATTTGATTTTTCAGACAAAAATAAATAAAAATCGAAGATGAATAATTAACCGGAAATAAATGTATGATGAACAATGGGTGACCTTACAAGATCCAGTGCCACCAAAATGAAAATTCCACCGCCTCTAAATTTGTCCTCAGATCCTGACGACGATTCATACAATCAAAAAAGTCGCAGTAAGTACTAAAAATACAAATATAGCACAGGATTAAATTAAAAGAAAAAAAAAAAAATAGGGATTTTAGTTTGAAAAAGGTTTTATTCATCGGCTCTCTTTTTACTGTTAATCTCTTCGACACGTTCTCCTGAAAAATAGCAGCGCTAGTAACTTGTTATCAATGCGTAACATGTAGATATTTATAAGAGCGTTTATCGCTAAATTGTTCTCTCAATATTCCTAGGCACGTGCTCTTGAAATTTAAACGCTTTTTATTCAATTTATATTTTATACGTCAATCAACTCACGAATTTACATATTTATATCCACCATATATACCTACTCTACAAAAATCCTCTTCGATTAAACTAAAATAAACTTTTAACGATCATTTTATCCATAGAAAATCTTAAATATAAATTTTTTTTTTAATTTTATTTTATTCAAAAATTACAAAATTTTCTTCACATTAAAATCATGTAAATTTTCATAAATTCACATGTAACAGTTTTTAAATATTAATATTATACATACAAACAAAATATTTTGGAAGGGCAAGATTGTATGATCCCAAACCTAGCATCCATTTTTTTTTTTTTTTTTTTTTTTAAACAAACTCTTTATTCGTTCAATTTCCAGGTTGCTATTTTAGGTATCATTTAAATCGCTAACAATTTTTTTTATTTTTATAACCTATCGATAAAAAATAGTTTTCAAAGTCAATAAACTGCGATGCGGATGTTGTAAGGATTCATGATGGTTTTATCATTCCTGGAAACTGGAATATTTTTTTATCAATATATTTGCATTCAAACGATAAGTAAATGTAAAATTGAATGTAAAAAAATTTTATCACTCTTCGACATATTTTTCATTCGCTCTTATAGTTCCTGGGATTTATACTTTTTATGGAGTTATGAAACCGTATAAATTTCATAGTTTTTTTTTCTAAAGAAAATTTAATTTTTTACAATGATTTTTTATTAATTATAAGGGTCGAAAAAACTTCAAAATAATATTGTGATTTATTTATCTAGAAACATTATTAATTATAATTAATAATGTTTGTAGAAACATAAATAATTATTTACACCTTTACAACATCCGTAACTTTATAAACTTACATAATTACTCACTATCGGTAAAATTGTTTTGGTAACAATAATTTATGATTAAAAAATTTTCATTAAAATTATTTAAAAAAAAAATTCTAAACTTAGTCGACATTTCAAAAAAAAATATACTAAAAGCAATATCTGATCGCTTTTATGATTTTTTTAGTAAGTAATTTTAATTTTAAAAAATCATACGCAGAAATTAAAAAAAAAAATATGAATACAATTTTTCTAAAATATTTTTTTAACTAAAAATAAAAATTGCTGTTTTTAATGTCATAAAAAAAATTTTAATAAGGATTAAAAAAATTTATTTTGATTAAAAAAAAATTTTTTTTTTTAAATAGAAAAAATTTGTAAATTCTTCGTATAAAAAACTATACTAATGATTTTTTTTTAGTACTGAAAAATGATTTACTATTACACGAAGCAGTTATCAAAAACGAACCGGAAACGGTAAAAAAAGTACTAGAAGAAACTGTCGACGTCAATTCGCGTAATAATGTAAGTAAATAAAATAAAGTAAAAAGTTGTCATATAAATACAATAAAATAATTAATGTTAATTATATTAACACAAACAGTATGGCCGAGCTCCGATTCATTGGGCAGCCTCGAGAGGAAACACCGAAATAATAGAGCTGCTTATGAAGGCTGACTGTGACATTGAGGCGAAGGATAAAGTATGACAAATATAAATAAACAATAGGAGTCATATAAATTAATTATTGATTATTAAGGGGGTATTCTGGTCTAGAAATTTGAAAAATTCGAATTATTTTTTTTTCAAAAAATTTCAATTTGGAGTATTTTTAAAAAATTCGAAAAGGTCAAAAAAAAGGGGTAAAAAAAATTGATATTTTATGTCGACGCTATTTTGTGAATTTTTTTTTTTTTTTTGACTATAGTCAACACGATAGCGACATCTTTACGGATTGAGAATTTCTCAAATTTTTTTGTTTCATATCACTACAAGGGCTGGAATCATGTCAACCAGAGTGCACCGTTTTTTTTGTAGCCCCCACTTCACCGCCCTGTAATTTGTCAAATTTATCATTTTTTTTTTTTTTAATTTTTTTTTATATTCTTGAAATGTCAATAAACATCATATAAAAAAACGGATTATAAAAATGTTTTTCATTTTTTTTTTATGTTAGTTTGAAAAATGCCTAAAATTTAGGCTTCTAGACCAGAATACCCCCTTAATTAATAGCTGGTATATTTGTTAAGTCTTTGACTAATTTTGTATGGCAGTTTTAAATCTTTGTCTTTGTTTTTATCTTTGTTGATATCGTTGTCAGTGACGGAATTAGTTTTTTAGTTAAGTTATTTGTTTATTGTTATTTTAGTAATAATAAAAATAATTAAATGGCTTTGATGTGTCTGGAATCAGTTCGGAATGCGGCCCTTACACATGGCTGCTTGGTATGGCCATCTTGACGCTGTCAAACTGCTTGTTGATGCCGGTGCTAATGTTGAAGCTGTTAATAAGGTAAAAAATAAATTTTTAAAATTTTTTATTCTTTAATAAGTAAAAAAAAAATATTAATTTGTTTTTTAATAAAAAAAAAAAATCTTTTACAATTTAGGAAAGTTTTATTGATGTTAAAAAAAAATTTATGTAATTATCTAAGGTTTTAACTTTAATTTTAACATGAAGAATTAGAATTAATTATTACAAAATTTGGGAGACTTTTAAATAAAATAGAATAAAGAGATAAATGAATAAAAGGAAAAATAATTAAAGCGACGTTTGTCGTATTGATTTTTCGAGACACAGCGGCTTTTTTTTAAAAAAAAAGATACACATGTGACAGATTACTCAAACTCGTTATTACACGGCTCGACCTCTTTTTGTTGTTTAATTTCTACAATTGAAAAGGAGCACATTACGAGTACTTGTACAATAATCTTCTACACTCTAATAAGCACGCCAGAGCAATTTACTCATAAGCACTTTCTTCGTTTAGTCCAAAAATTTTTGAGCTTTAATTAAAACATTTTTTTTAAATAGTATAAAAATTATAAAAATGAATATAATTTAAAGGACTATTTTTAAGAATGAGATACATTTTAATATCAATTTAATCAATTTTTTTTTTTTCAAATTATTCGTTTTTATTTATTTTTCAAAAAAAGATGAAATATAAATTTTACCCAAAAAAGCTATCAAAATCTTTATTTTTTTTTTCACGACATGTTTTATCATAATAAACTCGTCGTAAAAACCAGCAATGGGGTCGACCCTACTTGTAAATAATTACCAAAAATCGAAAACTTCAAAAAATTGAGCTGTGATAGTGTTTTCAGTTCAATTTCCAAAATTAATCATTAGATTAATTAATCATAAGATCTCGACGATTTAAAGTCCTTAGCATGTGTTGAAAAAATTTTTTTTCTGCATTTTTTAACCAGATTTTAACTTTTATACACTCTACCAAATTGATTGAAGAAAAGAAATTTTTTTTCATACACCCTTTTGGCATTTATTATTAATTTTGCCCTTTTGGCAATTACATTAATTAGTAACGTGATATTATAACAAAATTTTCTTTAAATTTCGACATAATAGCTAGATTTGTAATAATAAATCAACCGAAAAATTTACCGAGTTCCTGAACAAATAAATTTTCTATTATGTTGCATGTGGACGCAGAAAAAATACACACTCCTAATGTGTGGATCTCGAGGGAGCAGTAGTATAGTAATAGAATATTTGATAAAAGTAATGGAGTTTGTAAATGTCGAGGCAACTGACAATACAGGCGCAACTGCTCTGCATCATGCCGCAATATCTGGGCATCCGGATGTAATAAAAGCACTGTCAAGGATCCCCGGGATTAAATTCAACGTGACAGATAAAGTTAGTTGACAATATTTAACTCCTCAAAAAAGAACTTTCCGAACAGAAAAATATCAATAAAATATCACAAGACATACTTAACATTAAAATAAAAATATAAAAAGCGCGATATTAATAAATAATTAAATTTTTTATTAATAAATTATATTGTATATTAATAAACAGAAAGGACAAACTCCCCTGCATTGTGCTTGCGCGGAAGGACACATGGAGGCAGTTGAAACTTTAATTAACTTGGGATCTAATTTGAATGATCGTGACAACGATGGTTACAGTCCATTACACGTCGCTACACGGATGAGAAACACGGGAATCGTTCAGATACTTCTCAATGCTAATGCTAATTGCAATATTACCGATGACAACGGATTAACGTCCTTGCACATGGCTGCCAGTCAAGGATGCAAGGGAATACTAGAATCTATTATCGACTACTGTCCTGATGTTATTAATAAACAGTGCAATGTGAGTTTTATAAGTTATTATTACAAATTTTGTATGAATTACATTGTAAAATGTAAATATTACATTGAAAGCGCTGATGAAAATTAACATTCAAAGTTTAAATCTATAAAAATGTTATTTTAAACTGCAATTTTTCTAGTTTTTTACATGAAGCGACGCTTATTACTATTTATGATGTAATTTTTACATTTTTCTCCCGTGTACTGAAAAAAAAAAAAAAAAAAAAATTTAATTCAAAATTTAATTAACATAAAATAAATTTCTTGGTTAGAGAATTTTTTTTAATCAAATCATTTTTTTTTTTGTGAACTTAACAACTAGTAAGCTGAAAATTAGTATTGAACATTATAAATTATTTATGTTAAATAAAAATATCGTGTTCCAAATCCCAAAACGGCGTAGAAAACATTTTTTTTAGCCAAACGCTTTGTAAGAATATTCTAAAAGCTTAAAAAAAAAAATTTTTTTTAAAGCCACAAGCGTTTTTGCTTTAAATTTTAAGTCCTTTTGACTTTAGAAATTCTAAAATTTTATAATCTTAAGCCCAAATGGTGTGTAAATTTTTTGTTTCATCTAATTTTGTATTAATCAATTGAAAACCTTTTTATTTCAACAGATTTTCATATTCTTCAGTAACATTTTGATTTATTTGTTTGTAAAGCTTTCTGTGAATATTTTGTATTAAAACTTTAATTTTTCCATACGCAAAAAAACTATATCTGAATGCTGCAATATAGCCTTTTTGGCATTTGGAATGCGATAAATTAATTCAATTTGTCCCCAAAGGATATTTCATTTTCACTAAAATTCCTCGAAAATTTTTATTTTATTGAAATTTACTTTGATCTATTGAAATTTTCGAGTACAATAATTATTTTTCGGCTAATATATATCTTTCATTCATTCTATGACCAAATTCCTTGAATATCTCCTCACTTTACTTCTACAATCTCGAAATTCTCTAAAGTTTCAAGTCAATTGATTCTTTAGTAAATATGCGAGTATCTTACAGCTTAGTAAGTTTAATAAGAAGTAATTAATAAAGCAACAAAAAAAATGAAAATTAACTAGTAAAAAATGAACTTTATATAATTAACCCTCGCTGGAAATTTTAAAATCACTAAATACTGAACCCAAACATTAAAAATAATAAAATCCATGTAAGTTAATAAAAAAAAAAAAAATTAAACTTAAAACCGTATTATAAATTCAATAATTTATTTCCGGCATACCATCAATTGAGACCTTTTAACAAGAAATAATACCCGAATAGAATCCTTGGAATCCTTTTGATAGGTAATAACTAAATATAAATTAATTGAAAGTCTATTTATAGATCGGAAACACGCCGTTGCATTTAGCGTGTCAAAACAATCAAATGGATACTATTGAAATTTTATTGAAAAAAAAAGCAGACATTAATTGTTTGAATCTGGTAAGTGAGAACAAACAACATAATATTTTTATTAACGAATCTGTATAAAGATTATATTATGTCTAATATTTATATAAATAATAACGTGGATGTTAAAAAAAATATATTCATTCTCGAATTGAGATATTAAAAAAACACTATAATTACAATTATTTCCAACATTTTATTATATTTGTTTTTTTTATTCGCAGAAACTACAAACTCCAATACACATCGCTGCGGAAATGGGTCACACGGATGTTTGCAAACTCCTACTTGCTGCTGGAGCAAATATCGAGCAGAGAGAGAAAGTAATAACAATAATCTAATGGTTTTTGTTTTGTTAATTTATTTTATTTGCCTATTTGTTTATTTATATATATTTTTTTACGCTGAAGGGCTTAATTTAATTTTACCAAAATATTAATATACTTTTAGGGTGGGCGAACACCCCTCTACATCGCGGCAAGGGGCAGTTTTACGGCTATTGTTGATATGATTATCAAAACTGCCAGGCTAGGCTGCCCGGTAAGATTTATAAATTGTTTTTTATTTTTTTTTAATATCAATTTTTCAATTTTTTGATGGTTTAATAAAATGGGAAAGTTTTGCTAGTTATTTATTTTTTTTTTTTTTTATTAAGATGGATATGAATTTTTCAGGACAGCACTGTCAATGACGAAGATGGATTAGTGAGGAAAAAATTCAATGAGCCGCGCTGGAGCACCATTAGCGCTAATTGCGCCGCAGTGATAAGCGACCATATACGCTCGATTTTATGGAAGCTGGCTTATAAGCATCTCGAAAACGGAGATTGGAAGAAACTTGCGCTTCATTGGTCATTTACGCACGAGCAAATTCAAGCTATTGAACATCAATATGATGGTATCTATGGGTTATATACTTGTAATACTTTTTTATGTTTTTAGATGGTAAATCTAAGTTAGTTTAGTATTCGTTTCTAGTTATTTAAATTAAGGACATTCTCTACTTGGCATATTAAAAAAAAATAAGTTAACTCAATCAAATCAAATTTCGCTACAGGGCCAAAATTTAATAAATAAAAATAGTTTTATTACTATTTATTTTTTATAAAATTATTAAATCGTAAAATTTGAATAATAACTATAATAAATTACTGTTGAAATCATGATATTACTCTTTTGAAAACTATTTATTATAAATTGATAACTATTAATTAAAAATTCAATATTATTTATCATAATTTAGTTTTTTCTGTGTATATACAGAAAAAAAAATTGAATTAAGTAAGTAATTTTGACAAATTTTATCTTAACTGAAAAAAAAAAAAATTTTTTTTTGAAATATAAACATTCTTATGATAAAAAAGTAATTTGCTGGAAATTTTTAACAAATTTATTACTTAGATGAGGTTATCAAAAATTTTCTTACAGTAGCTCGCTTGTTGGAAAAAAGTTTCTAGATTTAAAAAAGAACAATTTGAGAATTTTCATTAAAAATTGTTTTTTTCTCAAATTTAGAGAACTTTTTTTCAACAAGGAAAATACTGTTGAAACAATTTTAATTTTTTCGATTGAGAAATAAAATTGTTAAAAATTACCAACAAATTAATTTTTTGTCACAAAAATTTTTCTTAGTTAAATAAATTTAATTTTTTTGTGTATCTAATAATTTGCATCTAAGCTAAATTCATTTTTAATTCTTATTAGCAATCACTCGAATTAGGATCGATAGTATTTAAAAAATTTTTTTATAAATTAAAAATTTTAGCTTTTATACTTTTTGACACTCTTTAGTAAATTATACTACTTTTATATAAAAAAAAAAAAAAATTCTTACAAGTTTGAGAATTTTCTAACTTTTCCACAAAAAGATTTCTATTTACATTAAAAATTGCTTGAATAAATAAAATAATAAAATGATATCTTCTTTACACTAAACATTTATAAAATATAAAATAACATCTAATTGAATTCTGTTTGAGGACCATCAAGTTACAAAGAGCACGGGCATAGAATGCTCATGATTTGGACCTCCAGTCTGTCACCTGATACTCAAGTACACGAACAACTGTATCAAGCTCTTTGTGCTATTGATAAAAAAAATACAGCAGGTATTTTATACGCTCAAATATCAAAAAGATAAACTAAATTTTCTTTTTATTATTATTATTTGTTTAATGCATTCTTTTAATTTAATAATAAAATCACACTCAAATTATCGAGATGATGATTTTTGATTATGATTTTCTAGTTTACAAAACTTATAATATATTAAGGTAAAAGACCTCATTAATTTCAATAATGAATATATTATTTCTAATCTTTAAGAGCTTTAAAGCTCTTATTAAAGCTCTCACTATTGAAAGAAAAAGTGCCACTAATAGGGGTTAAAAATGTCACTAATGAGGTTTTTTTTTACCTAATAACTAATAAATAAATAAATTAAATTTTCTAATTTAACCCAACAGATTCAATCCGGAAAAAGTACGAAGAAAAATACCAGGACGAAAAAAAAAAATCTGGAAGCAAAAGTTGTCACCAATGTTTAGTGTCGTAAATTCGTCAGAGACTGAGTTTTTAAAATTAAAAATTTAATTTTAAATAAAAAAAACTTAATTCGCATTAATTAAAAAAAAAATTAGCGCGCTTATTTTATCTTTTTTACGAATTTTTATCCACGGAAATCACAAAATATCATCACGTTATTTTTTAGACTATGGAATGTTTTAAATTATTTGAATAATTAAGTCGCCATATGTGTATATATACATTTACGCTGTAATGCAAGATTAAAATAAATACATTAATGGATAAATCAAGTAAAATTACTTCTTACTTATTTTCTTCACTCCATTCGCTTCTTCAATAGGATTATTATGTAGAATTAAGGATATACGAGCACTGATAATTTTGGTTTTTTTATAATGCAGTTTAAAAACGACCTAGTGAATTCTGAAAATTTTTACTTAAATAAATAGCTTTCATTCGTTAAAAAATAAATTTTAACATTAAAAAAAAATTGCATTAATATTTAAAAAAAATTTTTGTAAGTAGAATTTTTCTATTAATTATCTTTATAATAATTTATTTATTTATTAATTAAAAAATCCTAAAAATTAAATTTTTAAATTAAAAAAAAAAAAATTTATACTTGACCTTAAAATTAATGAAAAACTTGTAACCAATTTAAAATATATATATATATTATAAATTGTTGATAAAAATTAATCTATTACTGCCTAATCCCGCTTTATTACCCAGCTGGTACTTCCTTAAATAATATAAATAAATAAGAAAATTATTTGTATTAAAAATGTGGATTTATTAATGAACCAGTTTTTAAATTTGTCACTTCAGTAGTAAGTAATAAAACAACGCGGCTGTAACGCTTATCGTTAACCATTATTAATTATTATTTATAATTATTTCATTTATTACTATTAACCTTAATTAACAAAAATATCGTCATAATATTAATATTAACTATAATATAATAATCAATTAATTACAATAGTAGGAAGGTATTAATTAATTGTATATTAATTAATTAATGGATGGTTTATCATTTTGTTAAACATTTTAGTTATCATAATAATTGTTTCACTTTACACCTAGTCTCAATTAATCACTGCAACTTGTAAATTAACAACTGTCTCATTCGGGAAGTAATTGCTAGTTAAAAAAAATTTTTGCTTACTACTTTTGCAATTAATTAACTTAGAAATTTAAAAACAATTTATTATAATTATAATTAAGTTTTAAAATAATGAAAATGAATGAAGCTTTCTTGTTGTTGCTGTGGTGTATGATGACTAATAATAATAGTAAGTAAAAATAAAACGGTACTTAATTTTTAATTATAAGTATAAGTAATTAAAATCTTGTTCTGTTATTTGTTTCGTTCTTAAATCTGTTGCGATGAATTCACTATTATTGAGAATATAATAATAGTCGTCGCCATCTAGCGGCCGTAAGGATGAAACTTGCTGGTATTATTTGGAGCCGTTGAATAACCAGCGCGTTTTGACCCGCCAATGTGAATGTCTGTGGTTCCTGGAGCAGCGGGAACATTACTTAGATTTGTAGCGCCGTAGCGTATTCCTGTTGATATTTTACAAAAAACAACGTAATATTTCTATATATTTTAAATTTAGACTCAACTAAACTGAAAATAAAATTTATTAAACAGCTTAATTTTATTTTTATTATTATTTTATTGCATAAAAAATTTTTTAAATATAAGTTTACACCCTAACGGATTAGAATCACAGTTAATTTATTCAATTGTTGGAAAAATTACCGAAAATTTACGCACTAGATTTTTTTATTTGTAAAAAAAAAAAAAAATAAAAAAATTATTAACTTGATTCAAGAGAATAAGTCTCAAATCAAAAAATGTTGAAAAAAAAAATTTTTGAATCAATTGAAAAAATTTATTCGGCTTAAAAAAAAAATTTTTTTTTCATCATAAAAATTTATGTAATATATAGTTTTTATAAAATACCGTAATTTGGATCCGTCAGGGTAAAAATAAAAAGAAAGTTACCGATGTATAGGGTTTTAGGCATTGAATCCAGAGGCTGTTTCTTAATTTTCTATTAATACTTTATTTATTATAATTAATCATCATAATATAACAAAATGCTTACTTTATTATTTCAGCTCGATTTTTAATTATACTTTAATAAACATATTTTTGTATTTAGTTTCTCATTTACAGAACACCTTAGAAAAATACAAGAGACAATTATTAATTTATTAGTTTTAGAATTTTTAAAATCGGTTGCTTAGTAATTTTGATTACGCGAATTTCAAAAATATTGTCAGCGCCTTTTGAAAACTATCTCTACAAAATTCAAATATTGGTCAGGTTTTTCAATTGTAAATAATTATTTATATTTAATTTTCAAATTAACAAGTCATTGAGAGTATGTGAAAACTATTACACAGATTTTTTAATGATATTATTAATTTAATTTTTTATTTATTTAAGCCGTCACCGGGAATCGAACTTAGAACTTCCGCGCTAGAGTTTTGCATTGCCGATTATTTTATATTTAATTTTTTTAACTAAAAATTATCGATAATTCACGCAGATTTTTAGCAATAAATAATTGATTAATAAAACGATTAAAATTTAAATATTTACTGTCTAAGATCAAACTTTTAACCGAAAAAATTTTAATGTATTCAAAAAAACAATAGAAGCATAAAAAACCTACAAAAATAATTTCACAGCCACTATATATTGTCGTTAAATAATCTCAATATTTGTTTAAATACATTAAAAGACGAGCTTGTTTAAATAATCAACATAAGTGTACTGTAAATATTATTAAAAAGTAATTAAATTAATACTTTGATAAAAATTTAACTTTTAATACATCTAATATCTAAAGGAATTTACTTAGATTACCACTAAAGCCTCTAAATTTATTATTATTTAATAAAAAAAATAAAGATACTTTTATCTTATGAACTTATGAAGTACACTTGTGAATCTTATTACAGTTATTACATAAGAGTAATAAGATTCACGTAATAAGAGTAAGTTTACTCTTATTATATAAGAGTAAACTTACGGAAAAAAAAAAAAAAAATTGTTAATTTAAATTTAAATTCTGGGAAAGTTGTTTCTTAATATTAAAAATATTAATTATTATTATTATTATTATTATGTCTTCTTATTCTGTACTTTCGACACTTGAGACAACTCAGTTCCTCTGTGTTCAAAGCCTAGCGTCTGTAAGGATGATAATTCGTGTGTTGGGACAAGGAAAATCGTTGAGGACCTGGAGCTACATCTCCGTTCGATACTAAGGTCATGCTTCCATAGTCTGTTTTTACTTTTGCGGAAGTTAATTCTGTGAGGATAAACAGAAAAAAAAAATAAAGGAAAATATTGGTTTGATCTGTACGCCGATAATTTATAAATTAAAATAAATAAATAAATAAATCATGAGGTAAATAATAATATGTTTTGTGATACTGCGATACCGGCAAGAAGCGGCATTTTGTAAAATTTCAAAAGTATAAACATTTTTTTAATATTCAATATTTAATTTTAATTTTTTATTAAATATTCTCAGTCGACTAATTTAATTAAAAATTTTATTCGGAATAATTTAGTACACAGAAAGAAAAATTTCTTGATTGGAAATAAAAATTTTTCTTGAAATTCTATTCTTGGTGGAAGTCATTTTTTTTTAATTCAAATTATCATAGAATTAATTTTGTTGGAATAAGTAAAATTTCTTATCAAAAAAAATTTTTTTTTCGTTCAAGAAAATAATTATGAAAAACAATTTTTTCTTGGCTTTAAATGAACCTTTTTTTCAGTGTGGAATTATTTTATTTAATTATTTTTTGAATGGGTAATTAGTGATTAGTAAAAATTATAATTTAAACTCTACAAAATTTTATAAATTTTATTTTTATTCTAAAAAGTTAATAATTTTAAAAAATTTTGAAAGTTGTGAAATTCTTAATTAATTTTTTTGATAATTTAAATGAAGCATGCTAAATTTTTTATTAAATTCTAAAATTGTTTAATATTTTTCTTTTAATCCTGTGGCAGAATTCTCTATAAAATAATCAATATTAGTAAAAAAAAAAAAAATAAATTAATTTACAATCTAAGTTTAAAAAATTTTTTAAATTCTAAAATGAGTTCATTAAATACAAGATCAAAAAGTAGCGGCTAGAGTACCGACAAAATGGCGCCTAGCGGTATTGCAGTATCAAAATATATAGTTATAGATATTTTGATAAATAGAACTATAAAACCTTTTTTATACTAATTAGTATAAGTAACTTTAAGTATAATAATAATTATTGTAAGCCTTATAACGACCTTATTGAATCAGTAAAATTAAATTTTTAAGTAAACTACGTTAAATATGTAAGTGCGTAGATTAATTTTAAAATTTAATTAGATAATAATAATTATTAACTAATTATAAATAGTATATGACTAGTCATATAAGTATATTATCATCAAATAAAATAAATTCAATTTTTTAGTACCATCTAATACCAAGACTAAGTTATATGTATATTATATAAATAATTATAGATTTATCTATGAGTATCTTATTGTTAAAGAGACTATAAATATTCATAAAACACTGCACGTGTTTCCGTAAATTTGGTCTTTTGATAAAAGCTTAAAATGTAATAACATCCACAAAATCAAGTTTGATACAAAAACAATAACAACCGACTTAAAAACAGCAAAGAATAAAATAAAGCACATTTTTTTCCTAAAAATCTCCCAATTAATTTGATTCTTTTTTGTGATTCAAAATAATTTTTTTAAATCAAATTAATTTTTATAAGTGCAAAACATTTATTGGCGACAGACACTCACATTGTCGCTCACTCATCTATTTTATTTAAATAAAAAAAAAATATTTCCACAAGCATCAATTTGTGCAGTGTTTTAAGTCAATAAATCTTATTTAATTTAAGGAAAAATAATTAAAAATATATACTAGGTATTTAAAGAAATAGTTAATAATTAAAATTAACAGTTAAAAGTTATAGTAATATAATAAAAGAAGGAGAGGATAGTTATATGATGCAATTGAAAATAGCAAATAATTATTTTCAATAATGTCATTATTATTATCAATATTTAATCTATTATTAATCAGTAATCAGTAATTCTCGTAAGCTATATCAGTTATGCATTTAATTGTTTACGAATAATTATCCACTTTGTTTGTTTGTTTCTAATTAATATAATATTTATCAACTTATCACTTTTACATATAATAGTTGTTTCATTTTTTTTTATCAATAATATATAATGATTATATTATATATAATAATAATAATGTAAAGTGTATGATTATAGAATAATAATAATTATCTTAAGTATTAATTAATAAGACCACTAGTAAACATTAATCATTTATAAACATATATATCTTCACATATATATATATATATATATTTATAAGTATATTATATTATTTTTTAATCAATCATTATCTGGTGTGTTATATTTTAAATATTGTAAAGGTATAATATATTTTTTTAATTATATTTTTAGTGATAATTTTTAATTATTCTGCTTATTATTATGAAAATTTGAGAGAGATAATATAAATAATTTATTTGTTTAATGTAATAAAAAATTTAATTTAGTTTTTTTATGGCAAGGCTTTTTTTATAATGAATTACTGCTGCGCATGCGCAAGAACTGTTCCCACGCATGCGCATATACAAGAACTGGTTCCGCGCATGCGCAGTTCAGTTTAACCTATTAAAGGGGTCTAATTGAAAATTTTTCCATAAAATAATAAGTACAAGGAATAAGAATGAATTATTAAAACTATTTTTATGTAAATAACTTATGAAGAAATCAAATAAACATTCTTATCGTTAATTATAATTAAATTTTCCTTTAAAATTAGCCTTAAAATGTTAAAAATACAGTCATTAAATTTAATGCGTAAAAAATAATCGAAAATGGTACAAAGTTTGAAGTTTAAAAAATAAAAAAATATCTTAATCTTATTTTTAGCTGCTGTATAGTATATTTGGATGGAAAGTTATTATATCTAATACACAATTATCATTTATTTTTATTCTTATTCCTCAGTAATTTATAAAAATCTCTCTCTTATTTTCAATACTTTCTCTTATTAATAATAAAAAAAATTTTTTTTTCCACGAAATATTTTAACTTTAAATTTTAAAGTCAGCCTGGAAATATTACCACTATTAATCAATAAAATTACAAGATTTTATAAAAAAAAATTTCATTCTTTATCCTTAAACTATTGCCGATAGTTAATAATTAGTATTAAATAATTATTTTAGCCTTAAAAGTCATCATTACCGTAACCTTTCTTTAACATTTTATATTATCATTAATTAATTAATTTACCATTTAAATCTGAGCCCTGTTACTTTAATATCTCGATAGTTATCAATAGTTTTTAATTTATACGGTAGAAAAATAATAAAAATTACGCATTTGATTAATAAATTATTTATAACTTATCGATTACCTCAATTTCTTTTTTTTTTAATAATTTAAATCCCACGCACACTTTTCTCACTCTCGCAATTATTAATTCAGTAGTTTTTAATTAACAAAATTATCAATTAATCAATTCGTTTATT